TAACAGTGTTAGCCAAACACTGGAAGTCATCATGTTGTTGTGCTCTGACAGCTTTATAGTACAGAAATAATTTTTATTTATTTATTTTTATATATGTGTTCTTTACTTAGGTGTTTATTTTTGTCATTCTTTGTGTTTTTTGTATCAGTAATCATTAGAGCTTGTGTCTAGTTCTAGATCACCCGTTACCAACCAGATCAGCAACAGGAGAAAAAATTAACTCCAGCTGCAGCTCCAAAAGCTGCACAAAATATTGCACAACAAAAACCCAAACATATAATATTTTGATTTCAGATCATCTTAATTCTCAGATGATTTTGTATATGCAAAGAAAAAAACTGAAGCCACAAAATGTCCTTAGCATCATGACCGAGGGCGGTGCTTCTTTCTTGTCTTTAGAACAAGCTGCAAAAAACATTGTTGTAGATCTGAACTTTAAAATGTGACATTGATTGGAACAACAAACAGATGGGTTTCTTATTTCTTCCATATAATATACAATTATTTCTATTTAGATTGAAATGTTCTCTGCTCCTCTTCATATTTTATTTTAGCTTTGCAATTCCTGATTCCAACAGAGGTGGGCGGTACCCAGTTACATTTACTTGAGTAACTTTTTGAACTAAATATACTTCTGGGATACTTTTGCTGCTCTCTACTTTCTACTTTTACTTTAGTAATATATTTGTAACACTACAGTACAGTTTCTGGCTGTTTACCTCTTGTTGCTTCACAAACACAATATCAAAATGACTCCTGACACATCCCTGATGGAGGGAATTTCTTTCCATTATTGTTGCAAACTATGAACATGTTTCGTGAAAGCAAATTTGAAAATAATGTATCTAGCAATTAAACTTTGGAAAACCTCTTAATCAGAACTTGTATTTTTTTTCTAAGTTTCCATTCACAAATAGTCATGAGATGGTAAAACTTTCTGATTTTACTATGATAGTAATCCTCCATTTAAAATGAAAAAAAGAGCCGATTTTTGCTTTGCTTAAAATAAAAAGCATTGAGAAGACAAAAGGAAATGATCTATAAACAGCATTGAAATTAAAATCTTGACGGATCAGTAAAATAGTGTTAGAAACACAGAACAGAGAGACCGGCCACACGTCTGCCTTTCCCAGCTGTAGATAACAACTTGCTTGGTCAGGTTATGACTTAGCATATTTGTGGGTCATGGCAATTATCAAAGCTCCTTTTGTAATGAAACTCATTCCTGGTGAAAAGTACAAACCTAGTAACTGCTACTAACTTAAAGCTGAAGTCTGTAAGTTTTTAAAAATCACTTTTTTGTCATATTGGCTGAAACTGTCCCTATGCCCATCAGCAGTGGGCATGTGATATGTAACCTGTGAAAAAAACTGCTTCAATTGGTCCCGCCTACTGCCTGTATTTCAATCTGGAAAGAATAATTCGGGACGAGTCAAAACAACCAATCACAGCCAGAGGAGTGTCTGATGGAGCGTCAATCACAGCTCACACACGCTGAATCCCCCCCCCCCCCCCCCTTCTGGTCGCATGTGGTAGCCGCGCAGATGCTGTGAGAGGGGTGGAGCTTGGAGGTGGGGCATGAGTGAAGCAGAGAGGGTGGGGGAGTGGAGTGAAACCTGTTTTTCTTCAAATTTTCAGTCGAAGTCTGCTCTCTTCTCAATGTTACAGACTGCAGCTTTAAAGAAGTGTTCTGCGGCTCTTATAGCACATTCACCAAGGTCATTAAGATACATCTTTGGCTCATGAGATTGCAAAGATACTATCAGAGATCATTTTTCCTATGCAATATCAGGCAGAAAAGTCTAATGGCTGTATCTAATGGCTGTGCTCAATTAAATGGCATCACATGAAGAGAAATGTACAAATGTGTCAGTATGCTCAATAGGCTAACATTAAAAATCTAATTCATAACTTATCCTACGAAGATGTAAGACAGAAGAAACTTTGGAATCTGATTTATCTCCTTCTCCCCTCTTAAAGGAGGTGTAAGCTTTGCCTCTTATTAATGCATGCATAAGAAACCTGACCCAATAAATAAAAAAGTTGCATGCCATACTAACAATTTAGCCTACATTAAATACAATTTAAGGTGAATCCCCTTTCCCCTTCTCTGCCTCCTCCTCCTCCAGAGTTAGCTACATGTTGAAACTTCAGGCTGATTACAAGAGTTGACATTCAAACTAGCGCCATGCTGGCCTAACTCTGGTGAAGTCAGTTTCAGGTTGGAACCTGGATTTTTTTGCACGGGATTTGATGGGATCTTCACCCTTTGTTTACTTGATTCAGTGAAAGTACTTACTGACCCCAAATCTGAATTTTTGCAAGGAGAGCTGCTACTGGTTGTCCTAAAATGTGCTACAAGTCACTAGCTTTTGCATTTGGTTTTGTTTTGATCAAGGTTGAAGAAGAAAGAGAAATGTAAATATCTGCAAGCCTAAAAGTGATTAAAAACACTAAATATATTTTAAAACTAAACTTTACGCACATAACATGATCTCCCAGTATTCACTGATGCTTTACCTCAACTGAAACTACATGGACAGATTGTGTTACATTATAAAACCAAAGCAAAAGTCAGTTAGCAAAGGTGCACACAGTGGATGAAATGAATAAATGACAACTTTATTTCTAATACAACAGATTTAGAGGAAAAAAAAAACAACAACCGGAAAAAATATATTAGAAATGAAATTGACATCATATTAACCAGCGCTGGATCAACTGCAGCTTTAAGCAGGTGAGACCTTTTTTTCAATGGGGAAACATGATCGATCTCCCCTCTGCTCTGAATGCAGGCAGGGTTTGTTGCAAGATGAAGCTGCTGAGACTGACTACCTGTTTGTCAGGGGTAACATTTACTTGAATAACTTTTAGAGAAGAATACTTTTAGGATTACTTTTACTATACAGTACTTTTTACTTTTACTTAAAGGTACGTAAACCTGTTGTTTTCATTTATATCCAAAAAGCCTCTTGGTGAAGTATTTTCGTTGCCAGTTATTTTCATCCTTTAATCTTTGTTTTTGCTCAGTTTATTTGTATATATACCATAAAGCCATCATGTGACCTGGATTATATCATTGTACATGTGTGTAATTAATCAACAACCGAAGCAACTGAATTCTGTAAGTGTGTGTCTCCTAGCTTAATTGTGAAAAGAAAAGGCCATTCCATTTTTGAAACTTAAACGCAGAAACTTCTTATTAAAAATCAAATAAAAATCCACTGTGGCTGCACTCAAATGCACTCAAATGCTGTTCTGCTATTAAGAGCCTATTCAAAGCTGTTCAGAGCCTATTCAAAGTGGAAAAAATCCACTGTGAAGTCAGCAATGCTTTGTGTCTTCATGGAGGCAGAAATTAATCCCCTCTTCCCTGGTTGAGCTTTAAAGCAACCCTGTAATGAAGCAACCCAGTAATGTTCACAGCTTACAATGTATGCTTCTACTTTGAAGTCTAGACACCAAAGTGAAGAGAGGAATCAGTAATGGCTGCCGGGGTAACAATAGCTGGAAATGAAGAGGCCACTGAAAGCAATGAATTTTCTTCAGTTTGTCATTGAGAATAGATGCATATTATGAACTGTTTGTCCAAACATCCACTAAATATGATAAACATGTTAAAGATAAAATGTTCTCCATGTTCATGCTGTGTGAAAGCCACTATCTATCTATCTATCTATCTATCTATCTATCTATCTATCTATCTATCTATCTATCTATCTATCTATCTATCTATCTATCTATCTATCTATCTATCTATCTATCTATCTATCTATCTATCTATCTATCTATCTATCTATCTATCTATCTATCTATCTATCTATCTATCTATCTATCTATCTATCTATCTATCTATCTATCTATCTATCTATCTATCGATCGATCGATCGATACAATTTCTGCATGTTTAAATTGTACATTGTATATATTTCATATTGTTTTTCATATTATATTACTTGGTCTTTGTACTTATCATTGTATAATGATGTATAATGATAATAAAGGCATTCTAATTATGATATTTCACATATCGTTAATTCAACCATTTAAATACAGTTTTGGAGAGTTTTCCCTTTTCTAATTTGATTAAAAAAAGAAATATCTTTTTCTCTCTTTAATTTTGAAACAGAGTAACTGAAAAAAAGAGTTATACACATATTAGAATAACAGGGTTATTTTCTTGTTTGCAATCCTGTTTTAAAACAGAGGAATCCAAGGAAACCATACAAGCATTGAGGTTCAATGTTAAGCCTCACTTTGACAATTAGGTTTCATAAAAATAGGTTGACATAAATATAAGGTTGACTACCCAACGTGCTCACACATCTGCATTCTAGGTTTTTTTTTATGTTCCCAGCCTCTTGAAGTCCTCAGAGAGCAAAAATATCACCCTCTGACTCCGCTGTGAACACCTGCACATCCTATGGAGCCTCTTGTGTCCCTTTCCCTTACTCATGCTGGGATTTGGGTCACTCCAGAGACTATGAAATGACTGATTTTAACTCTGGTCATACTGTAAGTATTACACCCTATAGAGTTTGCACAAAAATCAGTGGTCGTAAAAATGTTTCCATAAGTGTCTAAGCAAATTTAAGTCATCATTATGATAGTAATCCCACTCATTTCCCTTCATGTCCAGCATGTGTTTTGTGTGTTTTTGATTTAATATTTTGGTATTTTAACTGAGATGACAAAGCTGCCTTAAATCTGACATCCCTACCAATATGTTTAAAAACCATTAAAATCAATTTCATAGAGTACTCTCGTGCTTAGTGTAACTCATGCTTACTTTAGTCACTGCATTCCACCGTGGCTTACATTTAGACTTTGCTCTCCTCTAGACTTATTTCAGCTGTGTTTATTGCATAAAACATACATTTTTAAAAGATAAATATCCAGATATATAAAAATGTAATGATGTCAACTGGACTTAAACTTTACAATCACAAATCACTGTGGGAGCATTTAAAGAAAATTAAAATGACTTATTGATTACTTACCCCAAATACAGGATGCAATCCAAGCTCTATCTTTTCTTCTGTAGTAAGATGCATTGTGGTAACAGAGGTAAGACAGAGTGCGGCTTCTTCTGCTGGCCCTTAACCAATGACTGACTACAGAGGTGAAAGGATCGCATGAGGATCAGCCACACGTCACCAGAAAAACATGGTGTCTCGTTCAAAAAAAGAGTGCAGCTCTGGTATTTTGTAATCTGTTCTCCCGCTCTGAAATGTTTCCGCTGTGCTCGTGAGCAAATGAAAGCTTAGTTACGTTGATTTTCAGTCATGTGTCTGCTGATGTGTGACGATGAATCTAGCAAGGATATAAGACTATTTGTCACATTAATTTGTCAGACTCTGCTACTCACATTCAGGTTTAAAGAAGGAATATCTGCAATACATTCAATTAGAAAACCCAAGGTTGGTCTTCAAAAGTGACCATAAGTTATGATCTCTTTCAATTTCAATAAATAAAACTCTATTAATCCCAAAAGCAAAATTAAATGTTGCAGTAATGCATCGTCTTTTTTTAATGAGTTGTTGTAGGTGTTGATAGGTGTAAGCAGGAAGGATCTGTTGTGGTCTGTCTTGCACCATATCTGGAGACGCCCTTTACTGAAGACACTGTTGTTGTTAACAGTCTTCTGAAGAGGATGCTCACTGTTGTCATTAATGTTCATCTCCAGAGGTTCTAGGGAATTTCTTAGAATAGAGCTTGTCTTAATTAGCTTGTGGAGCCTCTTTCAGTCATTTGCTATGATGCTGTTACCTCAACAGATGATGGGGGAAGAGAGCTCCACAACAGACTTATGTTAGATATGAAGCATCTTGGCTAAAACACTGAAGGACCTAAGATTCCTTAAGAAGTACAATCTGCTTTGTCCCTTCTTGTAGACAGTGTCACAACTGTGACTCCAGTTAAAATTTTTGTCCAGGTTAACACCAAGTTATCACCACCTCCACTTCTTCTCCAATTATCTTAATAGGATTCAACTTGTTCCTGTTTCTATTGAAATCTATAATAATCTCTTTTTTTTTTTTTGCTCACCATCAGGATCAGATGATTGTTACCACACTATTTCACAAAGACGTTCCCCAGCTTCCTGTACTCAGCTTCTTGCCCATCTCTGATGCACCCAGTGACTACAGAGTCATTTGAGTATTTCTGCAGATGACAGAACTTTGTCTTGTGGTGGTGGGCAGATCGATCCAAAATATCAATAAAAATAATACAAGTTGATATAACTATATATAGCTTAAGTCAGTTCAAACTGTCTTTGTTAATCATAGAGAGAAATAACATATCCAAATATTTAAAAATAAACAAGCTTGTACAATTATAAATTTTGTATGGTGATGGCAGTGAACTGGGGAGATATGAATAACAATTGATGGGAAGAAGCCTCAGATTAATGGTAGTCTGGCAAGCCCCACTAAATTAAAAAGTGCTTAGTTCAATCTGGTAAGCTGTCGTTGACTCCATCATGACTCTCATTGCCAGGGTTACTTGTTAAGTACAAGAGTTGAAGATTTAGAAATAGTTCATTAAATATTTTTATTGTATTTATTTTATTTCTAAAGCAGTGAGTTTTTTTGTTAATAATGAATGAACCATGTTGATTTATGGTCTTAGAGCATCGTTAATGTTAGGCAATATGTATATAAATTTTGTTTCCTTTAATGTATACAAACTAATATTTAAAAGTTGTAGCAGTGCAGCAATATATCTACTTCTGAATAAGTTCTAAAAAACTTGGAATAAGTTCAGATTAATATCTTTGAGTTTTGAAGATTTTCTTTTTCCTGAACCATTATTATTGTAGTTAGAGTTTAAGGTCCAACTTTTGTCTTTCCCAATGGCATTTATTATGCCACTTCAATACAATTTTCTCTGTGCATTTGTTTTGTTTTCTTATTTTGTATTTGTTTACAGCACTTTGAATTAGCTTATCACTTGATATGTGATACATAAATAAACTTGCTCTACAATGACTACCATACTGTGATTGCAGGCTCATTCCACGCATCAGCACAGAGGAAAGCTTTAGAATCACAAATAATCATGGGGACATCCATGTCCTCATAAATCAACTCATTTCCATGAATTGTATCTCAGAACAGTTATTCCTGGGACATCACTACATTGATTTGTTGCCCCTCACATATCTTTAGGCAGAGTAGACATTGGTGTTGTTTTGTAGCAAAATGTATGTATGTGGATCTATGTGTACCATGATTTAAACAAATATGCTCTAAGAAAGTGACCAAATAGATTCTATTTAAATTTTTTTTCTAAACTGTTCTAACCCAGAGAAAGGTAATTAACTCTGGGACCTGTGATCCAGACGTGCACAAGTGAGAAGCATGTACTGCACATGCTTGTGTAAATAATCCCGCAGGTTGTAGTAATTGAGGTTCAGTAACTGTAATTCATAGGGAACTCTAAATTAATCCCATTGTACTTTTCTCGCTGGTGTTTTTTAAGTAAGACATAGGTGCTTTGAATTTGACTTTATTATTCACTCTCACGTTGCAAAACTTTGAGAATACCTAAACTGTAAATTTAGTGAGTGATTAAGATAAACTTTATTGTATTCCTTAGATGTTTTTCAGTATGTTCTTTTAGTCATTCTGTATTCAGTTAGTCTTTGTGTGATTTTTTTATTGAGTTTGTAATTATAGACGCAGAAAAGTTAAATTAACACTTGGCTTCAGAGTTATAATATTTAATGTCCACAAGACTCTACTCTCTTGGTCAGAATTTACAGATATCAGAAGCTCCCAGATTAAATGTGTTGAGCAGAATTTTATCATTTACTGCTAAGGTTTAAATGACTGTAGAGCAAACTAAAAAGCAGCAGAGACCCTTCAGACTGCTTGCTTTGTAATTTCAGCTCGTCATGAAGACAAATCTCTCAGACATCATTGTGAAGAATAAATGTGTTAGATTCTATTTATATCCGCAGGTTTTCATTTCATTTACACAAAGACCACCCGTAGCTGGGGTTTGTAACAATGATTTTACACTAATGCATGACTTTACAATGGCTTTATTTGTTTCCAGAGACCCAGCAAGGAAAAGCAGGGGGACATAAAAGGCAAAATTTAAATTGTTCACAAAAATGTTTACAACCCACACAAAAGTTGTGCGAAGGGATTTTAAACGGTACTGAATGGACTGAATTGATTCTTTGTACTGTTGGTCTTTTAGCTTACTTTACAACACTTTGAAGTGCTAACTTTTATCTCAGAACTGTACCCATTATGAGTAAAATATATATTTTTGGTGTCATTGTCTTAAATAAAAAATACTTCTTACCATCTATCTTAAGACAAAGTAATAAATAGATGCAAACTTTCAGCACAAGACCGTTATCTTAGGGAAAGGCTCATAAAACATGTGAGAAAAATGTATGATAGTTTAATCTAAAGCCTTGAAGCATGAATTCTTGTGATGATCAGGAAAAAAGCTGTTCAGATAGCAACCCATGATGTGCATGCAACAAGTGACGAGCATGTGCTACTGTAACGGCTTCCAGCAGCCTACATTATTGTGAATGTAAGTAACCTGGTGTTGGCGTCAAGTCACAAGAAGACGGTCATGGTGGATAATCTGCATGAAACGGATGCTTCTAAGAGATGTGGAACAGGAGAAAGGATTTTTTTTTTTGTCTATCAAGGTTCATGAGAAGTTCAGACTGGCTCAATGTAATTCAATTCCGATTATTTATTGTGCACCAATTTAAAACTAGTCACCTCAAGGCAGTTTACAGAAACAGCTTAGTCGAATCATATACATATCCAGCTAATTGCATCAATTGCATAGATATTAGCATTTTCTCAATGACTCTGCAGCAATGCATGCAGCTTGAGGGGAGAGGAATACCTCCCTTTTAACAGGAAGAAACTTCCGGAGAAACCAGGCTCAGTGTGAGCAGCCAACTAGAAGTCCAAGAAGACATAAGCAGATATTCAAAAGGAATTTAGAAGCACTGATCCATAAATACTTAAAGTGGCCCAGAACAATATTTTAGGGTCATCAAAGTTTTTTTTTTAAACCCCTTTCCTAAAAGGTTCCTTTTTTACAATGTCAAAAATTCAGGAACGCACAACCCTGGAACACGGAATCACGAAGAGGCATATACAGGACACATGAATTCCAAAAAGGAACTTTGCTACCTTTTATGATTATTGTGTCAAACATTTATTGATTAAAAAAATCTAACAAATGCAAGTTTTAGTTCATATATACACAGACATTAGCTGAATTGTTCCTTGTTAATGAATGCAGTATCTAGCTCAAAATTTCTATTTTTTAATTAGCCGGAAAGCGCTTTGCTTATAAACACATTTGACAAATTTTACAACCTAAATATCTGTCACAAAAAAGACCAATGGGGGACATATTTTTTTGGCTCTTCCAGTTTGTTCATAAAGTTTACAAAGCTCAATCTGTCTGTTATACTGTATGTGCAATTTGTGCAGGCCGAGCATATTGAACATGTTGTCATTATCCTTTTCCTTCTTTTTGTTTACTTGTTCTAAAGCATCCTTATTATCTTTTTAGCGTGTTATTATTTCAGATATGAATTTTAAAAATTTGCACGTTCCTTGCTTGAATTACCAATGCCATGTAGACTGAGCTTGTATCCCTACCTATGAAATGTAAAGCCATAATTATTAGATACAAAGTCAGAAATTTATATCAGTCAATGTAATGTGATACTTCATCTATTATCATGACTGTAAAAAATTATGACTGTATCACATAATTACAGTACTTTACTGGAACTTAACTCAACTACAATTAAATGTTTCTCAAACAGTAAGAGTAACAGCATTCACTTTTTCACTGAATTATTCAAAAGTACATGCTAAAAGTACTGAGGTACAGTTTAACTTTTCTATCAACTTTTCAAATTAAAATATCTGTATATTTTTTAGAGTAATTTAAAAGAACATTGCAACTTTCAGAAACCACCTAATGTATCGATGAGAGGTGGGTGATACAAGGGATTTTAAGTTGATCCAATACCAAGTAAATACAGGGTCATTATCGCCGATATCAATACAATACAAATACTTTTTACATTTAAGTTCAACATATCATGGAACTGTTGACTTTTCTGTGTTTATGTGATTTTTTATTTTATTATTACAAATGAATAATAATTTTAATAATGTTATGCTTATAGTGTTTTTAGTTTTTTTTGGCTTTAATTCTATAAATATCCCC